AGCAGTAATATTATCCTCTAGTGCATGACAGAATGAGTAAATTGGAGGACACTTTAGAAAAATTCATGCAAGCACTTTGTCTAGTCAGAAAAATACTGATACTTCATTCAAAAATTTAGAGACCCAGATGGGCCAATTGGCTAAAAAACTATCTGAGTAGCAAGGAGGACAGTTTTTAGCCAACACACAAACTAACCCTAGGGAGCAATGCAATTCAATAACTACAAGGAGTGAAAAAGTTATAGGTAAGGGGATTAGTGATAATATAGTTGTTGAAGAAGAGGTTTTGAGAAAAGAAGATGAAGAAGGAGAAATTGAAGGTGGAGAAGAATAGGAGAATAATAAAGAAAGACATATCCCTAATAAGAAGAACGAAGAGGAAGAGGAAAAACAAAAGATAAAAAAATGAGGGAGTAAAAAACTATTTGTAGAAAAGTTACCATATCCTAAGGTTCCCTCACAAATAGACAAAGAGAGACAATTTATTAGATTTATGGACATATTTAAAAGGCTGCAGATCAATATATCATTTATGGAAGTTATGGAGCAAATGTCAATATATGTCAAATTCATGAAAGAGTTTTTAACTAAGAAAAGAATATTTACTGATGAAATAGTGGAGTTAGAGGCTGGGTGCAGTGCTATATTCCAGAAATCATTGTCTCAAAAGTCCAAGGACCCTGGAAGTTTCACTATACTAGTCACAATTAGTGAATTATCGGTGAAAAAAGAATTACTTGATTTAGAGGTCAGCATAAACCTCATGTCATTATCTATGCTCAAAAGAATAGGAGACTTGGATGTTAGACCAACTAGAATGACTTTGCAACTAGCTGACCAATCAATAAAGATTCTTTATGGAGTAGTAGAAGATGTTTTAGTTAGAGTGGACAAATTAATATTTCCTGTTGATTTTGTGATTATGGACATGGAGGAAAATGTGGCAGTCTCATTGATCCTGGGAAGACCATTTATGAAGACTGCCAAAGTAATTATAGATGTTGATAAGGGCAAGTTGAAAATTAGAAGTGGAGATAATGAAGTTAATTTTAATCTGTTTGAAGTTGTACAACAACCGAAAGACAAGAAAGATTCCCTCAGAATAGATACTTTGGAGGAATTACTCATCTCAACTGAAAAACAAGATTATAAGTTTGTTGCACAACCCCAAAGACATCTCAATCTGACTATGAAGGAAGTTGTTCAAAAAGGGGTACAGAAACCTTCTGAAGCAGGTATGATTTACCCAATCTCTGACAGTCACAAGGTGAATCCTGAGATGACAGTTATTCGCAATGAAAAGAATAAATTCATTCCCACAAGGACATTCAAGGGATGGAGAATGTGTATAGATCACCTTGATCACTCACCTGCATGAGTCATGAAGCAAATAGGCGTCAAGCTAATGACGTTAAACAAGCGCTCCTAGGAGGCAACCCAGTATTTTGAATTTATTTTTCTTTTTGCATTTTAAGTTTTTTGTGTGTTTTTCTTCCTTAGGTTTTTTCTTTGCAAGATTGTTACAGGCTTCTCCTCAAGATTTTCAAGCATATCTTCAATGGTCTGGGGACAATCCAACTTTTCCAGGAGGAAGTGAGAAAGTTTGCAACTGAGGCTGAGACACAAGATGAGGAGGAGATAACAAGTGAAGAAAATGAGGGAGGAAATTAACTTTATTTTTAATGTTTTTAATTCCTTTGTTTTGAATGTTTTTAATTTAATGTTTTTAATTGCTTTGTTTTAAATTTTGAATTCATTTGTTGTCCCACACATTTTGTTTTGGAGTCATTTATGAAATTATTACTTATTGTCAAATTCAAATCTGGAACTTGAAAAAAATCATTTTGATTGTTTCCAATAACAAGTGATTTTGGGATGATGAGTATGATAGTGAAAAAGGAATTGACGAGAAAAACTAGGAATTAACTGAATTGGAGAAGCTAGCCAAAACCCAAGCGAGGAGTGAACCAAAAACAGATAAACTGAGTGTCAACACTTTATGATGATAACTGGTATTGATTGATTCTTTGATGTGATTGTATGTTAGCGATACTTGAAAATGATAAAAACATTTTTTCTTGTGTAGTGAAAGTATATATAACCCAGAGTCAAATAGTCAACCCTACATTAATGATAGGACATCCAATTTGAACCGCATTTGAGCCAAAAACAAGATTGTTTCTTAAACAGAACCCCTGAGCCTAAACAATATTTATCCACCTTCCTATATTTGAGAAATGAAATGATTATGAATGTTAACATTTTTCTTATGGGTATTGTTATTCATAAAAAAAAGTTGAGAAAAAGGGAAAAGAAAAACATAAATATTGTGGCTAAGCCGAATTGATAAATGCAAAGCATGAGGAAAGGAAAAAGAAATTCAAAGCGGTGTGAATGATAAGTGGTGAGATTGTTAACTTACTATCTTTATGTTAAAGCAAAAACATGAAGTTTGAGACCCGACTTGAGGAAATGTTAAACAAGAATTATTCATATGATTTGAATTTTTCAAATACTTTTGAATATCCCAGAAAAACCAATGGATTCCTTCTTAGCTCAGCCCCATTACAAGCCTGAAAAGACCTTTTGATATAAGTCTTGCTTAACAAATGTTTATTGCTTTTGAAGATGATTATCAATATTTGATTGTCTAAATGAAGTAATTGAATGAGATAAACACTTACCCGTGAGAGTTAGAGATGATTATATATTACTCTATTTGAGAGATTATACTTCTATGGGGACAGTTGATGCTTAATTATCCTTTTTTTAGTTTCTGTAACTTTAATGTTGATATATCTTATTTTCATTTGGAGTTGTGAGCATCGCATTTGGAAGAAAAATATTTTTATGTTGTGGTTCTGGAAGAGAAAGTGATAATAGGTGATGATTTTATTTTGGAAAAATTACTTTGTTTGGGGACAAGCAAGATTCTAGGTTGGGGAAATTGTTAAGTGGTAAAAGTTGATATAATTATGTTTTTAATTATTATGAAATCACTTAACTTATGTCAATTCTAATATATTTTTCTTCCAATGTAGGATGATGATTAATTATCCACTTTCTTTGAGGACAATTGATGATTAATTATCCTTTGTTAGTTTCTGTAACTTTAATGCTTATATATCTTATTTTTATTTGGAGTTGTGAATATCGCATTTGGAAGAAAAATATTTTTATGTTGTGGTTCTGGAAGAGAAAGTGATAATAGGTGATGATTTTGTTTTGGAAAAATTACTTTTCTTGGGGAAGTTGTTAAGTGGTAAAATTTGATATAATTATGCTTTTAATTATTATGAAATCATTTAACTTATGTCAATTCTAATTTATTTTTCTCTCAATGTAGGATGAATTCGAGAATACTAAAATACAAGAGCAAGGAGCATAATTGTCAACGTAATTGAAAAAAAATCGAAAGAAAGAAGAACGCTTGAGTGAATGAATGATGCGAGGCCTGATCCAAATTTTCCTATAAAAAGATAAGACGCGTTTTGAGATGGAAGATGCGGTTTTTGTGAAGAAGAAACACGACTACTACTAGGATTTCGTTCAATTTTCATCAATTTTTCACTTATTCCTCATTTGGAGCATTGTAATGACCACCATGAGTGGTTAACTTCATTCTCTTGGGATTGAGTGCACTTCCTTTAAACTATTTTGTATCATGGTGATATTTTGATATATTAATCTATATTTTGATGTTATTCTTATCTTTTATGCTTTTGAATGATTTATTCTTGATGTTTGGGATATGATTGAAAAATATATCTTGAGCCCTAGATCATGGTAATAATATTTGTTACGTTAATTGTCAGGAATGAAATGAATGTATCAATTGCTTAACACCCTAAACCTAATGCTGGAAAATCTCTTAATTGCGTGGGAAATCAACATTTATTAGATTTTCTTATAAATTTCATATACGAGGAATCAACATGGATTATTCGAGTAAGTGGCATCAACATTATTAAGTTAATTGATATTGTTAATTAACATAATCATCGCAAAAGAAGAAAAAAGAAATCAATCATAAATACCTTTAATTGATATTTTCTAAACAATTTACAATTCTTTGTCATTTAAATTCAATTCAACTCTTTATGCAAAACTCATTTTGTTTTAATCCACTTAATAAGTATATAATTGAAAATTTTCATTAAAACTGTTCCTCGTAAATCGACTTTTATTTAATCAAAATACTATACTTGTTAACAAATTTTATCATCAAGCTCAACAATTATAAAATAGAAACTAGTAAACTGAAAAAATAGACTTAATTTCTTATTGAGTCAAATTTAAACCCAATTTTTCCTTGATCAACTTGAGCTCGAACTGAGTGCAAACCAAATTGCACTTTGGAAACAGAGACATCTAAGGAAATAAATGTATAAGGGGCGAGAAGGAATTTGCACAAAATTTAGTGTATAAGAAGACATGGATATAAAACAAATGAATCATATTACAGAAAAATACAAAAGGCAGAGCATAAAACACAGGTTCGTGCACCCACTAAATAGAATGACTTGGTTTCTCTTTCAAATGACAGAATAGCGAAATGCTACAATAGTTAATTATCAGGAAATTTGAATATTATTTATAGATGTGGAAATTGTATCACCAAGAAAAGTAATCAACCCACTCCAGCTGGAATGGTGTTCAGTCACACTGTATGAGCCTCGGCGGCTGAAAAACATTCCCCACACTTCTTGGTCCAATATGGAAGCACGAACCTTTAAACTTGCTATCACAACACGACTTTAGCAGCTTAAAAAGGGCGGGATTCCATGTAAGTTCAGTGTTCAAATAGCTCATCACCACTGACAATCAAACCAACTCATATAGTACAGATCTGAACTTTTGGAGGATTCATAGATCTTCAAGACTTAACATGATAGACCATTGCAACCCACTGATTCTTTCCCATCAAATACCACTGTTATGTTCAGTTTGGGATCAAGAAAACCATTCATAGGTAATGTACAGTAGACAGTAGAAACATCTCACTTTACAGGACGGACACCAACTGTTCTTACACGAAACCGGTATTGAGGCAAAGATTCTTCTTCTTCATCATCGTCGTCATCATCACTAGAATCATCTTCAACACTATCCCACCGTGCATAGTCTAGAGCTGAATGTCCTTTTGGTTTTGGAATTGTTTGCCATCCTTTTGAATGTTGCTCACTTGATTCCCTGTTTGGTGCTTTAAGAGCTATAGCATCTGTTGTGGACTTCTTAGACTCATGGTTTTGGTTTCTCCCTTGCTTCGTTGAAAACTTGGGGTCTGCTTCATGAGGAGCGCCTTCAGTACCTTTGCCAAGTTCATCCTTCTGTTCTGTCCTAATATTAGAAATCAAAGAGTATTTCTCTCCCATCTCTTCTTTTACATTCTCCCCTTCTTGTATCACTTCAGGCTCCTCATCTTCCTGTTCTTCAAACTCCTCTTCTGATTCTGGTATTGGAGCAAGTGACTTTCCTTGAGCAAGAATATAGAAAAAACAAAACATTTCTTACTACTAGCTGATAAAATACTTTGAGTACAAGAATAAAATTCTAGGCCAAATTTTGCTAGATTACTCTTACCCACCTCTCTCTACCTCTCTCTACTTTTTATTCCACTACTTTCACTTTCTCTTGCAACATTTATAAAATCAAACACTTTTTAACTATGATATAATCTTAACTTGCACATGCACTTCATGAGTATCACTCCTACTAGACTGGATGAGAAAAGAAAAGGCATGTGTAGAAAATAACAAGGAAAAACCTAAACAGAAAAATATCAAACCCAGAAAAACAAAGAATAACAGCAATAAATAATAACATAACAATATTAATTATTACAAAGTTGGAAGCATATGCCCAAAGCCATACACAGTAATCTGTTAATTGGTAACTCAAAACCATGTTACCAGTTTGCAATGCATGCAAGTGAAATTGCAACAAAAATCTAAAACAGAAGAGATAACAGTGCCTACCAACTGTGTCTTCAAGCGAGCATGAAGATTTTGATAAACCTCTGAAGATGGATTCAACTCTAACAGTCTGTTGACGTCAAAGAGAGCTGAATGGTACTCCTTCAGGGTGACTAGTGTTTGAGCCCTTAACATCAAGGCCCCACTGTGCTTGTGATCAAGCTCAAGCACCGAGGTACACTCTTCTGCTGCCTGAAATAACAAGAATAGAATGTATCCCAAAAAGAAAAATTACTATACAGGAATGCATGCGGCGTAAAGTTCCAAATGGAAGGAAATGATAAGCAAGGGCATCATTTTAGAAGGTTGAAATCATAACCAATGTTTTCATTTGACTCAACTAGGATTAGGTGGAACCTAAAATGAGATTAAAAAGAAAAATTCAAACATTGTATTACAAAATTTTTAACAAAAGGGCAACAACTATAGAATGAGATTGTACAATCTCCGACGTAAAAATCAACATCAACAAATCAGCCAGTATTTGTTAGAAGGTAACTGAATATGCTGTCATTTTTTTCACAGTTATTCAATCAAGAATTGTAATGTAGTTGAAATTTATTAATTTTTACAATAATTACATTAAAATCACATCTAAAATTATTTCAAATTAGTCGATAGTGTAATTCAAAATTAATCTGTGTTTTCTTAAAATTCGATGGATTGCAATCACAAATAACCGTAATCCTTTACAGAGACATAAGAGAAGGAAACGAACATATTCAAATTCAACTAAAACAATCTCCTTTCGCAACCCTAATTTTTACTAAAATTGCAAGTAATTTCCGCGGCCAAACCTAATAAAGAGAAACATCTACATAATCAAATCCTGTTTCCTCACTTTTAACCGATCAAACAGTTCCTCCCTCTTAAGCAGAACCTCTAAACTTACACACAATACAGGAGTCCTAACAAATTTGTTTAAGACTTTCGTCATTATCAAAAAACTCAACAATTTCCAATCACATGAAAATCATGAACTTCATGAAACTACAGAAAATAAAAACTAAAATTTGCGCAATTTAACTCAATTTACAAAACATAGAAAACACACTTTCCAAAGCAAAACACAACTAAGAAACTCAAAACAGAACGAGAAAGAGGAACCTTTTTGAAATCGTGAAGCTTGAGATAGCACGCGGCTCGATTGCTATGCAAAGCGATCTTCTGAGGGTTGGTCTTGGCCATGGCGATTGCCTCCGTGTAGAACCCTAACGCCTCCTCGTATCGTCCATCACGGTACATCTGGTGAGCGCGTTCGATTCTGTTCGGCGTCGCCATCTCCCTCCAAATTCGATCGCAAAATTCCAAAAAAATTAAAAGGATTCAAATCATAATCGGTTTAAACCTATCTATACTAGGATTGCACTGTGCAACGAAAATTGAGCTTTCAAGAGTTTGAAATTTATACGTGAGCTCAGTGACAGGACCCGAATGGAGAGAGAGAGATGGACAACGGAACAAGACAATGCCTTGAGTTGGACACGCTTCACCCAATTATTGAAACGCGCATTTCCCACTTTCTTGTCTTTTCGGTTTTGTTTAGTGTTGTGCAGTGCAGAGAGTTGAAAAACAAATATTGGATTTAATTTGGTTTGTTTGGTAAAAAATTAAAAATAGATAATTTTTTTTTTTTGTTATCTCTGCTATTGTTTAGTTGCAACATAGTTATTACTGTTCGTATCAAACACTTTATAACTTTATTTTATTTTTTTATACATATATTTTATTCCTTTTTTATTTGAAAGTTTTTACGTTTTTCTTTTTGCGAAACGGGTTATTAGTATGATTTAAGAACAGTAATATATCAACTATAAATGTCATTATTGTCGTGCAAATCACTTATGAATGCACAAAATTGGGCTTTTTTTTTACCATAGGTCAAACAAATATTGATTTTAGTAAAAGAGAGTAAAATATTTTAAATTTTATTAAAATAGGTTAAGTAGAACGATTTTGACTTGGGTTATAATTTTATTTGTTTGAATTTTTTTTTTAAATATGTTTAGTAGTATGAATTATGAATAATTTTTTTATATTGAATTCGTGCTACCTAATACTAGGCTTTTTTTTCAAAAAATAAATTTTTAATAATTTTTTTGTTTTGTATCTAAAACATTAATAATTTACAAATGAGGTTGTATTTTAATAGTTTTTCCTTTAAAATATATTATTAATAAATTTATTATTATTATTATTATTATATATATATATATATATATATATATATATTTGATTTATTTTTTTCATACTCTCTGGCGTCCCTTCCCTTAGTCACACCACGCTGCCATCACGTCTCCTCTCTCACACCACGCTGTCACCACCGCGACGCCGTGAAACTACTCGCCAACGTCCAGGTTGGTCGTAGTTGTTGTTTATTATTGCTAGTGTCACATAATTATTCACAATGGCTCATTTTCATCAGAGAAGAAAGCTGTAGGTTGTTCACGGTGCTGAATTCAATTGAAATTGTTTTTGGTAAGTGCAGGAAGAAATTTGAATTTGAAGAAGAAAGATCAGAGGGAGGAATGTAACGAAACTATAAATCGCTAGTATAATTATATCTTCGCAAAGTAGTAAACAAATAAATAACAATATCTATTTTACATTATATTACTGTAATTGTAACATATATTGAAATTCCAGTTTACTAACGGAACTTCAAAACATAGTAACATAATTTATTTATATATTATACATGTAAAAGTAGCTCCCTCAAAACTATCCCACTTAACTATCCCTACTATCCAAGTAGTCACATCACCATCTCTCAACTCCCGATTTGCTCCCACATAAAAGTGATCATCGTAGTCTCATCCACATGAAAAAATAGGGGTAAGTATTAAATCATTCGATATAATAAAACAGATATAGAAGTAATAATTATATATTATGATCAATTACGAAATTATCAACACACTAAGACACCTTCCGAAGTATACCCTAACTATGCCCGAACTCAGAGGCTATCATTTGTGGGCACATTGTGATCGGTACCCGTAGTACCATTCTGACTACCCTCCACACAGAGTAGGATTACTGGCGCCCTTCATCACTCATACTGGAGTACCCCTCCGAGCGCGCCACCAGTCATCCCCCATCGACTTCTCACCACCTGATTTCGTAGTCTACCTGACCCGACCAATCAGTGAAGTCTGGGACCTCATTTAAAATCCTCCGACATAGTTATTACACTAATGTACTTTGTACCACCCCGGGTACCATTCAAACATAACAAAAATTATTCACATTTGCCGGATTTTGGACCATCTGTCCTCACGGCTCATTCGGGTCAATAAAAATAGTATTTGACTGATTCTGGCACCAACCCTCCGGCTAAGTCTAGCCAATATATAACGTCTCAGGACTAATTCTAGGCATCAGCCCTCAGGCTCAGTCTGACCCACACACGTCACAACACACTACTTTCATTCTCTCTCTCTCTCTTTATATATATATTTTTCTAAAATCATTTCCGAAATCATTTCCGAAATCATTTCCGAAACTATTTCCGAAACTATTTTCGAAATCATTTTCGAAATCATTTTCGAAATCATTAAATTACTATTTTGCCCTTAATCTTTTCTTAAAATTCCATGTATATCCCTAAATGACTATTTTACCCTTGGACATTTTTGAAAATTCTTTCCATGTCCCAAAAATGACTAGTTTGCCCTTGGACATCTTCAAAAATTCCTTCCATGTCCCAAAATGACTATTTTACCCTTGAACAATTTCAAAAATTCCATTTATGTCCCTAGGATGTAAAATGACTATTTTGCCCTTGAACATTTTCAAAAATTACATTTATGTCCCTAGAATGTAAAATGGCTATTTTACCCTTGATCTTTTAAAAAAATCCCCACCATATCCCTTTCTTCTTCCTTCGCCCAGTAATAGTGTCAAAATTTGCGATTTTGGCGGATTTCAAATTACTCAGCTTTTAGACAACCAAACTAGTCCCAAATCGAAATTAAACATGAATTATATCTAATTTAAGTTGAAAACAACAATTTTACCATATAATTCATCCTTAATTTCAAGAATTTAATCAATATTTAAAACTTTGCAAAATATGAATAGTAATCACCTCCAAGTACGCCATTTTCAAAATCCAGGTTTCAAATTTCTAGCTTCAATCACCCAAATTAGTTCCAAATCAAAATTAAACCATAAACATGTTCAATTTAAGTTAAAAACAACAATTTTATTATATAATGCATTCTTAATTTCAAGAATTTCAAAAACTTTCAAACGGTGAACAGTTCATCAAAATCGAAATTCTTCAAAATCGGACATTCAAATAATTCATATCTCTACTCCTATTCCTTATTCACGAGTACCCAAGCAATTCAATTTCATATATTGAATGAATTAAACTTTCCCTTACCTGGTATGGTATTTCTACCGAAGTTTTCCCACTTAATTCAAGTTCTCTCCCGTTTCACTGAGATCCTGCACGAGTAGAGTCTCGTTGCTTGAAATTTAGACAATAGAAGAAGAAGGATGAGAGGAAAATTTTGATTCTCCTCCTCCCCCGCTTCAATATGCATATATAAGAAAAAAATTTACTGTGCATGAAGAAAACTTCGTTACGAAGTTTTCTTGCACAATAATATTAATATAATATTAAAATAAGGCATACGTCACAATCTCCCCTCCACAAAAATTTTCGTCCTCGAAAATGAACTTACTTGGAAATAAATATGGATAAGATTCTCGCATCTGATCCTCCATCTCCCAAGTGAAGTCTCCAGATTTCTGATCCCATACTACCTTCACCATTGAGATAGTTCTACCTCTAAGTTACTTCAGCTGAGAATCCTCTATCCTCACTGGTCTCACATCAACGGAGAGATCATCTCTAATCTGCACATCGTCTGACTCCAGGACATGACTGGGGTCATGTACATATTTCCTCAACTGAGATACATGAAATACATTGTGCAGATTCACCAAATGAGGTGGCAACGCTAACTGATATGCCACTGGACCTACCTTCTTCAAAATCTGATATGGGCCAATAAACTTGGGAGTCAACTTCTTAGATTTAATTTCCCTTCCTACTCCAATAGTAGGTCTGATTCTCAAAAATACATAGTCTCCCCCCTCAAATTCCAAAGGTCTCCTCCTCTGGTCCGCATATGATTTTTGTTTACTCAGCGGCTCTCAGCTTCTCTTGTACCTCCTGGGCCTTCTCTGTAGTCTGCTGGAGTAGCTCAGGTCCAATCAACACTTTCTCCTCATCCTGATACCAACATAAAGGTGTTTGACACCTCCTCCCATAAAGAGCCTCATATGGTGTCATTCCGATACTGGCATGATAGTTGTTATTATACGTGAACTCTATTAATGGAAGGATATCATCCCAACTTCCTAGATTATCCAACACACAAGACCTCAACAAGTCTTCTAGTGACTAGATGGTCCTCTCTGACTGTCCATCTGTCTGGGGGTGATAGGTTGAACTCAACCTAAGTCGGGTACCTAATGCCTCTTGTAAAGTCTGCCAGAATCTTGAAGTAAATCTAGGATCCCTATCCGAGATAATGCTAGATGGTACCCCATGTAATCGAACAATCTCGCGAATATATAGTTGTGTCAGCTTAGCCATATATATCCTCAGATTTACAGGGAGGAAATGTGCACTCTTCGTCAATCTGTCCACTATCACCCAGATCGAATCGTGCCCCCGAATTGTCCATGGTAAATGGGTAACAAAATCCATGGTAATGCTATCCCATTTCCATTCAGGTATCTCCATTTGCTGTAGCATTCCTCCCGGTCTCTGGTGTTCCACCTTTGCTTTCTGACAAGTCAAACAAGCAGTCACATACTCTGCAATATCTCTCCTCATACCAGACCACCAATAAACCTTCTTCAGATCTTGATACATCTTAGTCATACCAGGGTGTAGACTCATACGACTTCGATGACCTTCATCTAGTATTGCTCTCTTCAATTCTTGGTCATCAAGAATACAAATCCTTCCTCTGAATCTTAGAATATTATCCTCACTCATCTTGTAGTCAATGGTCTGCTCGGATCCTAACTGATCCATAACACCTTTCAACGTCATATCACCCTGTTGTCTATCTCTGATCATCTCGAGAAAATCATTAGTAATGGTAATGCTACCACAACTAATGCTAGTATCACGAAACTCTGCATCTAGATGCAGATCCCTGAACTGCTCAAGTAATCTTAATTCATCCATCATTATTGCTGACATATGAACTGTCTTCCTACTCAAGGCGTCAGCCACCACATTCGCCTTTCCT